ATCGACTTTTCACCCGAAACGTCCAGATTTTTGGAAAAAAAATCAAAATTATAAAACAACATTTTGAAATTTAATTTTTAATCTGCTAATCAGAATGCTTTGAAATGTTGCAGATGTTTTAAGGCTATAAAGAGCATCATAAATGTTTAGTCAAAATATATTTGCTTATCCCCTCCAAAAACTTGATGACGTCAGCTCGAAAGTTTGCCGAATAAATCATATCTAAAATGTACAAAATATGATGAGTCTGTACTTGTCATTTATCACTCCATTCATATTTTTTGGATTTGCATATACAGAGTGACTCAAAAAAATTAATGAATGCGTAAATATATTTTATTGATTTAATCAGGAACTACAAAACGGAATGCTCTGACATCTTGCAGATGTTTTAAGGTTATAAAGACCATAATAAATGTTTAGTCAAAATATATTTGCTTATCCCCTCCAAAAACTTGATGACGTCAGCTCGAAAATTTGCCGAATAAATCATATCTAAAATGCACAAAATATGATCAGTCTGTACTTGTGATCTATCACTCCATTCATATTTTTTCGATTTGCATATACAGGGTGACTCAAAAAAATTAATGAATGCGTAAATTTATTTTATTGATTTAATCAGGAACTACAAAACGGAATGCTTTGAAATCTTGCAGATGTTTTAAGGTTATAAAGAGCATAATACATTTTTAGTCAAAATATATTTGGTTATCTTCTACAAAAAACTGATGACGTCAGCTCAAAAGTTTGCCGAATAAATCGTATCTAAAATATACAAAATATGATGAGTCTGTACTTGTGATTTATCATTCCATTCATATTTTTGGATTTGCATATGCAGGGTGACTCAAAAAAATTAATGAAGGCGTGAATTTATTTTATCGATTTAATCAGGAATTACAAAACCGAATGCTTTGAAATCTTGGGAATATTTTAAAGTTATTATAAGCATGGTAAACTTTTGTTCAAAATGTATTTGTTCATCCCTCCTAAAAAAATTGATGACGTCACCCGTAAATTTTGCTGAATAAATCCTATCTAAAATGCAAAAAATATGATGAGTTTGTACTTGTGATTTATCATTCCATTCATATTTTTTAGATTTTCTTAAGAGGTGGTTCAAAAAAATTAATGAAGTCAATTTATTTTATTGATTAAATTAAAGGCAACACTTATTATTAGTATTACACCCCAACCAACCCAATTTGGTAGACACAAAATTTGTTAAAGGAAAAACTCGGTTGAAACATAAGGGTAGCACGCTTATTTACATCGACTTTAACATTACAGACCTGCATTTGTTTTATTCGTTCACTTGGTTCCGCGAATGTGAAATAGACATGTTTATAATCAACCAATTGTGAATTTCACCGTCAAGAATTAAAATAAAACCCAATGTTTTATATAATAAGCGGAAGTCGAAGCAATAAAACCGATGGTCGTTTTGTTTACAGTTTCTCTGTTTGACTCTCATGCACGTATGTTGTTACGCTTGTCATCTTAAATTAAGAATGTTTATACATAAACGATTTTCAGTTGCCGTATACGTGAGTAAATTGTTTCGTTATTTTATTGATTATAAAAAATCAATATTCAAAACGACCCAATTCATTTTCCCGAAAATTTGGGAATACAATAATTTTATTCTTAGTATTACACTACATCTATCCCAACTGATATACGTGTCCTTGCAAAAATGTTGATGACGTCATCGCAATTTTTTTAAATTCCCACTACAAAAATGTAATGAGAAAAAAACACAATAGGCATGCAGTCGTCAAGTTTCCGACAGCGAGGGAAGTACTGTCTAAACTCTTTAGACCAATTTTTTATCGCGTATTTTCGTTATTTTTTTTTACTTTTTGTCGACTTTTTTGAATTTTTGTTTCGATATTTTGTTCTCTTTTTTATCGCCTTCGTTTTGGTAGCTCTGGTCCCTTTTTGTAGTCTTCTTCTTTTTGTAGCGAAGTTTTTATCGCGTTTTGGTCTCGATTTTCCCCCTTTTTCACTTTTTCTTGTCTCTTTCTGTCTCGTTTTTGTTCTCGTTTTTGTCGCCTTTTTTATAGCTTTTGTTCCCCTTTCTTCTTTGTACCTCATTTTTTTATTGTGACCTTTTTCTTAAATTGTATTTTTTGTCGCGTATTTTGGTTCTTTTTTGTCCTCCTTTTTTTCACTCTTTATGTTAACTTTTTTGACTTTTTTTTATCGCCTTTTGTTGGTACCTCTGGTCCCTTTTTTACTCATTTTTTGTCGTCTTTTTTATTGTCTTCTTCTTTTTGAAGCGAATTCTTTTTGTCTCCTATTTGTTCACTTTTTTGTCGCCTTTTTTATAGCTTCAATAGGGCCAATTCTGAATCAAGCATGTTAAAATTTAAAGGTTGTTAAAAAATAAACAGCCAATCAGATTTACAAATTTAACTCGTTACTATGGAAATTTGCAATTTTAGCACCCTTTAAATTTAACAGGTTTGATTCAGAATTGCCCTTTATGTCCCCCTTTTTTTCTAGTATTTTTTTATTGACTTCTTCTTGTACCTTATTTTTTTACCGCTTTTTTAGCGATATTTTGGTCCCTTTTTGTCCTCTTTTTTTCACTTTTGTGTTAGATTTCTTTTTGTAACGTCTTTTTTTGATATCTTTTTTGTTGTTCTCTTTTTTTCGTCCTTTTTTTGTGTCTTTTATATCGTTTTTTATCGTCTTTTTTATTGTCTTCGCTTTTAGCTTATTTTTTCCTCAACTTTTTTATCCCTTTCTTTTTATTAATTTTTTTGTTATATTGTTTTTATTGATTTTTTTTGTAGCTTTTACATCGTTCTTTTTTTAGTCTTTTCTTATTGTACCCTTTTTCTTAAATTGTACTTTTTATGAGTATTTTTGTCCTCCATTTTTGCACTTTTTTGTCGACTTTTTTTGAAGTTTTGTTTTTATGTTTTGTTTTCTTTTTATATCGCCTTCTTTTTATCGCTTTGGTCCTTTTTTGTCGTCTTCTTCTTTATGTAGCGAATTCTTTATCGCTTTTTGGTCTCGTTTTTCCACTTTTTTTCACTTTTTCTTTCTTCTTTTTGTCTACTTTTTGTTCTCTTTTTTTTTGCCTTTTTTATAGCTTATATGTTCCCTTTTTTTAGTCCTTTTTTATTGACTCCTTTTTATAGCGAATTATTTATCGGTTTTTTTTTCTCGTCTTTCCCCCTTTTTTGTCCTCCTTTTTTCACTTTCTCTTGCTTTTTCTTGTCTCCTTTTTATTCTCTTTTTTGTTGCCTTTTTTATAGCTTTTGTGTTCCCCTTTTTTCTACTCTTCTTTTACTGACTTCTTGTTTATGTAGCGAATTCTTTATCGCTTTTTGGTTTCGTTTTCCCCCTTTTTTGTCCCCCCTTTTTCACTTTTGTGTTAGATTTCTATTTGTAACATTTTTTTTATTCCCTTTTCTTTTCGTTTTTATTGAGTTCCTTTTCTTGTACCTCATTTTTTTGGCTATATTTTGGTCCTTTTTTTTCATTTATAAATTATAAACAAAAACAAAACCAACAAAAGAAAAATCCATTAAAGCATGTCATTTGCCAAGAACGCTCTCCTAGCAGCTACTAGCCCCGCCCACATACCCTATATTTTCTTAGAGGGTGTGTCATTTACCAAAGTCAGTCTTATGTTAACAAGTATTAGCCCCGCCCACCCACCCTATCTTTTCTTAGTGGATATCTCATCTGCCAAAGTCAGTCTTATCTTAACCAGTATTGCTAAGATAAAACTGATTATGGCAAATTACATACCATCTAAGAAAAATAGAGAGTGGGGAGGCGGGGCTAGTACTTGTTAACGTAAGACTGATTTTGGTAAATGATATATCCTCTAAGAAAATAAAGGGTCACTGGAATGAAGAAGGGGTGGGTGGGTGGGGCTACTACTCTTTATAAAACTAGAAAAAAGTTAAACTTAGCCCCAACCACCCATCCACCCATTTTGTCATTTTCTTTCGGAAATAAAAAAAAAATCTTATAGATAGTGTAACAAACAAATTAAAATTAGCGTTTCTTTTCTTTTTTTCAGCAGTCTACGTTCTAATAGTTCCGATTCCCACTCTACAAAAAAACATTAAATTAACTCCGCCCACCCACGCCGCCTCCATTTCAGTGACCCATTTTATATAGTCCGAATGAAAGGTGGATTTCAATTGAACAGAAATAAAATCATTTGAGTGAGAGCAGTGTGTGTGGGCGGGGCTACTGCCGCTAATATAAGACTGGTTTTGGTAAATTATATATTCTTTAAAAAAATAAAGGGTGAGTGGGTGGCGCTAAAATTCGCTAAGATAAGACTGATTGTGGCAAACGATATACCTTGTAAGAAAATAGAGGGCGGGTGGGCGGGGCTAAAACTTTTTAAGGTAGAACTGAACAATATTAAGAGTCCTCACTGGAATGATGAAGGGGTGGGTGGGCGGATCTACTATTTGCTCAAAACTAAAAAAAGCTATACTTAGCTTACTTTTACAAAAAATGTACTGAAGAGTTAATCCGCCATTTTCCGGACACCGGGCATAGCGCATACTGTATATACATAGATGCTTATTGCTAATTGTTATACATAACCTCAATGCGATTATCGTCTAAAGCCACTTGATATTGTTCCAATTATCTGATGAATAATCCTGTTTAATGCGATTACTCATTAGCTAATGGTTCTATATTTCATTCGAGTGAAAAATTTATCGAACGTTCTGCAACCAGCAATACACCTTAGGGGTTGTACTCGAATTTTGTAGGTAATACGGACTCGTACTTTCTTAGTTTTTTCCGAAGAGTGTATCAACACTGACTTGTCCCAGCATTTACAATTTTTATTAAAAGAAACTCCAAACACTCGGTATATTTTTGGAGTTAACAATTTCCAATCAATTTCTAATTAAATCGCTCGACCTGACGGACCGGGGAAATCCGGACCGTCCAGCGCCACCTCCAATCAATACCCACCTAGCAACCACCCCCAATCAAACTCAAACTTGGATTCCAAATAATTTATTGAGAAAACAGGTTGCGTTACAATGGCAAAAATTCCTTTAGTGGCCATACAACATAAAAAACAAAACTGAAATCACGAATTGTCTGCATTAATACTGGAATTACAAAACAAAAATTGGAATGAATTAATCTACTTCTTCGATGGTAGGTCCGGCTCCACCGGCACCGGGAGCTGCACCCGGAGCCGCCCCTCCCGCTCCCGGGAATCCAGGCATGCCTCCGGGAGCTCCACCGGCCCCCTGGTACAGCTTCGTGATAATCGGATTACACAAATTCTCCAACTCCTTCTGTTTGTGTTCATACTCTTCCTTCTCGGCCAATTGGTTAGCGTCCAACCAAGCAATCACCTCGTTACACTTATCCAAGATACTATTCCTCTCGGATTCAGAGATCTTATCCTTGACCTTCTCGTCTTCCATCGTGCTCTTGATGTTGAAACAGTACGACTCCAAACCGTTCTTCGCAGAGATCGTGTTCTTCTGTTTCTCGTCTTCGCTGCGGTATTTCTCGGCTTCGTTAACCATGCGCTCGATATCCTCCTTACTGAGCCGTCCTTTGTCGTTGGTGATGGTGATTTTGTTTTCTTTGTTGGTGCTCTTCTCCACCGCCGTCACGTTCAAGATACCGTTGGCGTCGATATCGAACGTGACTTCGATTTGTGGTACTCCTCTAGGTGCCGGAGGGATTCCGGTCAACTCGAATTTACCCAACAAGTTGTTGTCCTTGGTCATCGCACGTTCACCCTCGTACACCTGAATGAGCACCCCGGGTTGGTTATCGGAATAAGTGGTGAAGGTCTGGGTTTGCTTGGTTGGAATGGTCGTATTACGTTTGATTAAAGCTGTCATGACACCGCCTGCGGTTTCAATACCTAGAGACAACGGTGTGACGTCAAGAAGCAACAAATCTTGGACTTCTTCGGATTTGTCGCCGTGCAAGATGGCGGCTTGGACGGCGGCACCGTAAGCCACAGCTTCATCAGGGTTAATACTCTTATTCAGTTCTTTCCCGTTGAAGAAGTCCTGGAGCAATTTTTGTACTTTGGGGATACGGGTGGACCCACCAACCAAAACAATATCGTGGATCTGTGATTTATCCATCTTGGCGTCTCTGATGGACTTCTCCACTGGTTCCATCGTCGATCGGAACAAGTCAGCGTTGAGCTCTTCGAATCTAGCTCTAGTAATAGACGTGTAGAAATCGATTCCCTCGAACAAAGAATCGATTTCGATGCTAGCTTGCGTGGACGAAGACAGAGTGCGCTTGGCTCTCTCACACGACGTGCGTAAACGACGTAACGCCCTCTTGTTCGTCGTCAAATCCTTCTTGTACTTCCTCTTGAACTCCTGGACGAAGTGGTTAACCATCCTATTATCGAAATCTTCGCCACCCAAATGTGTGTCACCAGCCGTCGACTTTACCTCAAAAATACCATCTTCAATGGTCAATATAGACACATCAAAGGTACCACCGCCCAAATCGAAAATCAGAACGTTCCTTTCCCCAGTTCCTTTCTTATCCAACCCGTAGGCAATAGCGGCTGCCGTCGGTTCGTTGATGATACGCAAAACCTGGAGACCGGAAATGGTTCCGGCGTCCTTTGTGGCCTGTCTTTGCGAATCGTTGAAGTAGGCTGGGACGGTGATTACGGCGTTTGTTACAGATTTCCCCAAATAGGCTTCCGCGGTTTCCTTCATTTTGGTCAACACCATGGAACTGACTTCTTCTGGGTAGAAGGATTTTGCTTCTCCTTTGTACTCTACTTTGATTTTGGGTTTTCCACCATCGTTGATTACTTCGAAGGGCCAGTGCTTCATGTCGGCTTGGATGGCGGGGTCGTCGAAACGACGCCCAATAAGACGTTTGGCATCTGGAAAGAAACCGAAAGTCAGCCAAAGCAATGACCGGGAGACGCTAACATTAAAAAAAGGGCTTCAGTTGGTTAAATAATCACAAAAGTAGCTCATAAACTCTAGTCTGGCGTGACATTTAGTATCATCATGGAAAAGTGGGCGGTGGGCGGCCGCAATGTCAAGGTCAAACTAGTTCTAAACATGCAATTGAAATTTTTTTTTCCTTTATTATTACTATTATTACTAAGTTCACATGTATTTGTATTTTTGTTCCCATAAGGACGTTTGTCTGTGGGAAAATAAACTACCATTATTATTATTATTTGATGTTATTTTATTGAAATTTTTGAAAAACATGCAAAAATTATTGACTTTCAAGTGTTCACTGGCACGAAACTGCGGGGGGAGGGGGAAATCCGGTGATCTGATTTATGGAAAAACCGGCACCTTGACCAACAAAAGCGTAAACTGGTGGGTTCAAAGAATTTTATGGGTTTGTTACTCTGGGACGGTTTCCTCTAACCTTTGACATTGCGCGCTAGTAACCAATACACGCCCCTCATAAAGATAAAGTCCCTAGCTGAGTGGCTGACGCACTCGCCAAGGCCGCCATTGATTAATCATCAAATATGCATGCCGCAACTTTTCCCACGAAATTATCATGACTCACCAAAAATTGTGTTATTGGGATTCATGGCCACTTGGTTCTTGGCGGCATCTCCAATGAGACGCTCTGTGTCTGTGAACGCCACATACGAGGGCGTCGTCCTGTTGCCCTGGTCGTTGGCAATAATTTCAACTTTTCCGTGCTGGAAGACCCCCACGCACGAGTAGGTAGTTCCAAGATCGATACCGACTGCTGGTGCTTTAGCCATCTGAAAATCCAAAACCCCTTAAAACACGCACTCAAACAACCGACGGGAATTTGTAACACAAAACCTCACGTTTAACGTCAATCACGTGTCGCAATTTCTTTCGATTTTCCACAATTTAAACAAAACGTTGACGTTGTTGACTTAGGGCGACGCGATTTTGATTAAAGGGCTAATATTTACCTTAGTTTGTGTGATTGCAGACAAGTCTTGAGTTCAACGAGTGTTCACTTAACCAGCAACAAAGATGGAATCGACCGCAAAAAGCAAATGGCCGGCTTTATACGGCTTCGGTGGTGGTTCTAGAATATTCCAGAGCTTAACCAATCAGGACGAAAAGTTCGAGTCACGCGCTGGCTGCGATTGGTGGACGAGCGCGCTCTGGAACCTTCGCAGAAAAGCCGTTTTTTTCATAAATTTTTTACAAAGAAAATACAAGCGGGTTCTTTTTATTAACAACGCTAAAATTCTTCCACGATTTTTGTTTTACACCACGATGAGCAAAAATATTTAACTATGTCGTAAATTTTACAACTGCAAAAACGTTGATTTGCCGGGCAAACAGGCGCCAAATGCGGGTATTTTGAAACTTTAATAAAATTTTTCCCGAATTTTCCAGTTTAAGTCGAACTTTGTACCAGGAATTGATTATCACGAACGATGATTAATCACAATTTGTGCGGTTTGCGTCCCATAGTGATTAACTAAATATCGAAGGTCATTGAAGTCCACGTGTTCGTTTGCAAGGTTATGTGGAACATAAAAAATTGATTTCAATAAATTTTTAGGTCGAATTAAAACCCAGATGGTCTTTTCCACAGTGGATAAATCAACGGGGCGCTAATTTTTTTCTTCAGAAAAGTTCGCGTTTTGTTAACATCGACAAAACAAATCGCGAAATTATGAAATTAATAATAATAAAAGAGTAGACGACAACGAAAAATATTATTTTTCATTTCCTGTTCCCCATATATGGACCAACATAGTGTGTTAATAGATTAATACTGATACAACAGTGATAAACATCAATTAATTTTATGGTCACTCAAATCCCCACAACGGTAGAATAACCAAATAATAAAAGGCGCCATTATTTGAAAATCGAGCACCGATTAACTAAATGTTTTGTTATCTGGAGTGGAGAATTTAAGTTGATTATTACAAAAATTAACCATTTTAGACATGCTTTAAGTTTATTGTTGTCGAAATAAGTCTGCACATATTCAGAAAACGAGGCAAAAGGTAGCCCCGCCCACCCACCCTATCTCAATTGTGATGATTTTTTTATTCGTCGTGAGCCAACAAGGCGGAGCTTAACTACAAAATCCTTATTTCTCCACGAGAAATTAAAACATGGTTTTGAGTATCGTGTTGTTCAAAGAATACTACGTATATTAAGGAAAAAATAAAGCTAAAGATTAGGCCCCACCTATTCTTACACCGATCTCAATTTTCAATTGTGATGAATGAATTTTGTAAGGTCGAGGGGCGGGGCTAAATTGGAAGATCCATATTTGTCCACAAGAACTTAACATTTTAAACATGTCTTAAATTTCTTGTTTTGAAAAGACGACTACGTATATTAAGAAAAAGGGCAAAATACAAGCCCCGCCCACCCGCCCTATCTCAGTTGTGATGTTTTTTTTTTAATCGTCGTGAGCCCAAAAAGCGGAATTTAACTGCAAAATCCTTATTATTTCTCTACAAGAAATTACCATGCAAGACATTTTCTTTGAGTATCGTGTTATTTCAAAAGTACCACATATATATTAAGAAAAAATTAAAGCCAAAGATTAAGCCCCGCCCTTACCTGCCCTGATCTAAACAGTAATGAACTTTTCATTCGTTGGCAGACCTAGGGGCGGAGCAAAATCCATATTTCTTTACACAATTTTACCATTTTAAACGTGTTTTAAGTTTCTAAGAATTAAAAAAAGATTACAATTGGGATGGGGTGGGTGGGCGGGGTTTATATTTAGCCTTTTTTTCTTAATATACATAGTATTCTTTAAACAACACGATACTCAAAAACATGTTTTTAATTTCTTAAAGTAAAGAAATAAGTATTTTACAGCTAAACTCCGCCCTCTTGGTTGACGGCGAATACAAAAAATCATCACAATTGAGATAGGGCGGGTGGGCGGGCTTACATTTTGCCTTTTTGTATTAACATGTGTAGATTTCTTTTCACAACATGAAACATAAAACATGTTTAAAATGGAAAATTAGTCCTTGCAAAAAACATGGTTATTTTAAGTTTCTTGTTGTGAAAAGATGGTCATGTATATTAAAAAAAGAGGTAAAATATAAGCCCCGCCCACCCGCCCTATCTCAATTCTGATGATTTTTTTTATTCGTCGTGAGCCAACAAGGCGGAACTTAACTGCAAAATCCTTATTTCTCCACGAGAAATTAAAAACATGGTTTTGAGTATCGTGTTGTTCACAGAATACTACGTATATTAAGAAAAAAATAAAGCTAAAGATTAGGCCTCACCTATTACCGCACCGATCTCAATTCTCTTGTGATGAATGAATTTTGTAAGATCGAGGGGCGGGGCTTAATTGGAAGATCCATATTTGTCTACAAGAATTTACCATTTTAAACATGTCTTAAATTTCTTGTTTTGAAAAGACGACTACGTATATTAAGAAAAAGGGCAAAATATAAGCCCCACCCACCCGCCCTATCTCAATTGTGAGCCTAAAGAGCGGAATTTAACTGCAAAATCCTTATTATTTCTCTACAAGAAATGACCATGCAAGACATTTTCTTTGAGTATCGTGTTATTTAAAAAGTACTATATATATATATATATATTAAGAAATAATTAAGCCAAAGATTAAGCCCCGCCCATACCTGCCCTGATCTAAACAGTAATGAACTTTTCATTCGTTGGGAGACCTAAGGGCGGAGCATAATTGCAAAATCCATATTTCTTTACACAAATTTATCATTTTAAACGTATTTTAAGTTTCTAAGGATAAAAACAGTCATCACAATTGAGATGGGGTAGGTGGGCGGGGTTTATATTTAGCCTTTTTTTCTTAATATACATAGCATTCTTTAAACAACACGATACTCAAAAACATGTTTTTAATTTCTTGTAAAGAAATAAGTATTTTACTTGCTAAGATAAGACTGATTTTGCCGTTATTAATCTTGTAAAAACTTGTTAAATTTAAAAGGTGTTAAATTGCAAATTACCATTGTAACGAGTTAAATTCCTAAATCTGATTTTGTGTTTATTTTTTATGTTTCATTCTCCTTCAGGAGCGAGGGAAGTTCTGTTGCAAAAGCGAAAAACTACAAAATCGGAAAAAGTTAATTAAATGTATGTAGGTGTCATACCTATACTGGAATTATTTAACATTAGTCTGCTGATTTGAAATTACCCGGAATTTTTCGTTGGAATTATTCTAGAATTTTTTAAGTTATAATTTCTAGAAAATTATCATTGGATTTATTTTTATCGAATGTTTGGTGAAAATTTGGATTTTCAGAATTATTAATAAAAAGTTAAAAGTACAATTGAAAAATCAAAAATGAAAAAACTAGAAATATAAAATGTGAACTTTGGTTGACGGCGAATACAAAAAATCATCACAATTGAGATAGGGCGGGTGGGCGGGCTTACATTTTGCCTTTTTGTATTAACATGTGCAGATTTCTTTTCACAACATGTAACATAAAACATGTTTAAAATGGAAAATTAGTCCTTGCAAAAAACATGGTTATTTTAAGTTTCTTGTTGTGAAAAGATGGTCATGTATATTAAGAAAAAAAGGTAAAATATAAGCCCCGCCCACCCGCCCTATCTCAATTCTGATGATTTTTTTTATTCGTCGTGAGCCGAGGGGCGGAGCTTAACTGCAAAATTCTTATTTCTCTACGAGAACTTAAAAACATGTTTTTGAGTATCATGTTGTTATTCAAAGAATACTAGGTATATTAAGAAACAAAGGCAAAATGTTAACCCCGCCCACCCACCCCATCTCAATTGTAATGACCTTTTTTTATTCTTATAAACTTAAAAATGTGCTCCCTACTTCAGAGGATTTTCCTTCAGGTTGGCAGCACTCAACTACCGCAATTTGATTGGTTGAAAACCCAACGACAAATTTATAAATCGACCTTAAACCGGTGTTAGAAATCATAGAACGAATACAATCTCTAAAATATTAGTAAAACGAATTTATTAAAAAAAATAAAAAATTCCGAATTCAGGGATAACCTAAAAAATCGTGTCAAACACATCAATAATTTACTTTATTTGTAATCAATTAAAACACAACAATCACTTGTATACTTATATAAAAACGTCAATATCAAACACTCTTAGGTCTGGCTACTCTCTTAACCAATTAAATAGCAGAGAAATACGTTTGGTATATAAGTCCCACTGAAGTAGTGGCAAAGTAGACAAAACAGCACCACCACGTTGAAAATCCTAGTAGTCCTCGAAACACTTCAGCTGAAAACACCTGAAAAGCAATAGTACACTTATCCTTTACCATACCTACCGATTTTAAATTTTCGAGTGCTAGGTGAAATTCGGCTGCTGATTGTGCGATAGATTCGCTCGAACTAAACGGATCGATTGAACTCGATTGACTTGGAGGGGTGATGGGGCACTCGTTGGGGTCCGGGGGCTCTCTAAATAACCCGCTCCAGGTGTACTCTCCCAAAGTTTTATACATAAAGGATAAAATTAGGCACATTATTATAGGAATGACGTACTGAAGGGTTACCACACACAAGTAGTAAAACACAGCTGCGATCTACAAACAAATTCGCTAAATCGGGTTGTTTACAAATACCAAGGTACCTTTTTCTGAAATTCTATATTAGTGATTCTACCCGCTTCTTTCTTCTGTTCTTGGGTTCTATTGTAGGCCATGTCTAAGTAAGCCTGGAGGTACCACGGCATGAGTACTAATCTGATACCCACCGTTAGTACAATACTGACGATCCTCAAGGTTTCAAATGCGTGAGGTGTTAATCTACACAATTTAATTATTTTAAACACAAACAAACTAGAGATGTACCGACTACAGTCGGCCGACTGTTTATAAATGCAACAGACAGTGGGTTTTTTTTTTCTATTTCTCTGACCACGTTAAAAACTTGTTTTATTTTAATAAAAGGAATAACTGAAGTTTCTTTTTTTTCCAAAAAATGTGTTAAATTTTTTTGGATAATTTTAACATTTAATTTTTTGTAGTAACTCAGTACAAAAATAAAGAATAACACAATTTAGGGCAGTTTATACTATACTTAACCAATTTTAACCACTTTTTTGGAAAATTTTTGGAAATTTTGAATTCGCTTTGCGTGTTTATTGGACCATATATCGTGACGGCGATTTCAGAATCGTAACTAGCGGAAGATTATCTACACTTTGACACCAATTTTCGGTCGATTAAACTAATTTTAACCGGTTTTGACAAAGCCGACTAGTCGGCCGACTGTAGTCGGTACATCTCTAAAACAAACAAATGATTAACTTACAGTGGGTGCGACATCCCTGAAAAAACCCTAACAGTCAAGTAAGTCCTAGCTACGGGTTTAATCCAAAAAATCACCAAAATAAACGGAAGAGCGAAACTGAGATTCAATAAAATCTGGACTAATTTACGTTCCCTAAAATACTTGAGTAGGTCCCAATGCATCTTGGCTACTCTTAAACCTGGAAAAGTTAAAAGTGACCCTAGAATCCCGCACCACAAGGCCAGAAAAAACTTGAGAACGATTTTTGAAGCTGGACCCCTACAAAGTGGCATTGTAGACACTTCCATCGTTGGTTTAGTGTGACTTACGATGAATTTAAACCCTGTTTGGTGAGAAACGCAGACGCGCTTTGGTTAAAACTATTGTAAGCGTTTTCTAGACCTAATTCTAGTGTATTTTCGTCCACTATTAAAATCACCATTGCTATTAATAGATAGATAAAACCCATCACTATGCAGGTGGAGCGTTCACCCACTGATTCTTCACCTTTGAAGTACTGCACCGTCAAAGACAGCAGCAATTTTCTTAAATGGTGTTAAGAATAATTATTTATTTAAAATTGGCGCCACGTCACGTGACCTTGCTATTAACAAATCAAACGACAGCAGTGTTACCAGTGCCATCTATTGTCTGCACTTTAATTCGTAACCACCTTATAAACAATTTTTAATTGTTTATTTTATTTATGTTTGAAAAAAGGATACACTGAAAACAACAAAACCAAAGCGCACCACATCATGCTTAGATTAACTTCGTCCTTCAAAGGAAACCACGTCTGATAAACCTACAACACCTCATGAATAAACAACCTCACCACAAACCTCACCTACCTCAGTAATAACATAGACAACAACAGCATACACTGTAAAATCAACAAGCCACTGATACTCAGTGTAATATCGTAGATGTATAACATCCAATCGTGTCACTTTGGCCGTTTCTAACTGCACATCCAAGCTCCTCGGTACGTGAAAAGTTTCAGCACTTGCCTTCCCATTTGCTTGAGTTTTCGCCCCCTTTTTCGCCTTCGCTTTGTCTTTGGGAATACTAGCGAGCTGTCTCAGCTCGGCGTCGGTGGGGTAAAGATACCGAATCAGGCCGGTGGAGCACAGCAGCCACCGTGCAAACGAGAAATGGGGGCCCAGTTTCTGAATTACACTGATCATGACTAAAGTTATCACCAACTGGGCTCCCAGGAGTGCCTGAAATGATAATAACACAACCGGAACGGGATTTTCACTGAACTTACCATTTTCCGTGTGAGTTGTGGCTGTTTTTTGTTAACTAAATCTCCACTCTAAGGCATGCTTTCCCTAATTTTTATTTATAGAGAAGGTGTAGGATGAATGACACCTAACCTAAAAATGGGTGATATTTTTAGCGTCGCCGCTTTACATAATAGCCACAGTCGCTAATTCCGTAACGAAATGAACAACTCGCCCACAATTCCAACAAATTTTGGCAAAAATTTGTAATTATTAACAACAATTATTAAAAATTTGGAAGCCACAAGGTTGCGACACTTGCTCGAATGACCTGCTTCGTCTACCAATCGCAATCGATTATTTTAACCATGTGACGCAACGTCGTGCTTCCATTGGCTGGCGGAAACCGTCTTTCGCACTTACGTCTCACACCTATCATAAATATATTTCAATTTAAATTTATTTTGTCTAATTAATCTTAATTGTGATAAGACTTACAAGCGACGTTACATTGTAGATTTATTACCTGATGACGTCCATCTTCGCTTCTCGTTGAAGTAACTTGTAAATTTGAGGTTAGGTTCATTGGAAAAATGTCCCTAAGGGCTATCAAATACGAAGCCAATACTCTCGAAATTCTTGACCAGCTCCTTCTGCCTGCTCAGTCGAAATATGTGCAAGTTAAAGGAGTGGAAGACGGTTGGAAAGTAATCAATAAAATGCAGGTACGTAGATGACTGTTGTGGGAAGCTACTAATTGTGGGTGTAGGTAAGAGGGGCCCCGGCCATCGCCATCGTGGGTTGTTTGAGTCTGGCGGTGGAGCTGCAGAACGGAAACCACGATTCGAAGAAGGACTTGAGGCAGGATATCGAAGGAAAACTGAATTATTTGGTGTCGTCTAGACCCACTGCTGTAAATATGAAAATTGCAGCGGATGAGTTAATCAGTCTTGCTAACACTTTGTGTGAAGACGAAGCGGTTACTTTAGAGACAATGAAATCAAAGTAATAATTTATTTGCTTGTACTTTTTATTAAATTATGTTTTACAGTTTCATAAGCACGATTGAGGATATGTTGAATAAAGACATAGCTGATAATAAGGCGATTGGTAACTATGGGGCGCAAGAAATTTTGTCGCACGTGCCTGGTGACAATCTAGTGCGAATTTTGACGCATTGCAACACCGGTTCTCTGGCTACTGCAGGTTATGGGACAGCTTTGGGGGTTATAAGACGTCTGAATGAGTTGAAGCGCTTGGAACACGTTTACTGCACAGAAACCAGACCGTATAATCAAGGCGCTAGACTGACTGCGTATGAGTTGGTACATGAGAAAATCCCTGCCACTTTAATTGTAGACAGTATGGTGGCAGCACTGATGAAAACTAGGAACATTTCAGCCGTTGTTGTGGGAGCAGATCGAGTAATACATTTTTTATGTCACACACATCAAATAAACGTTGTCTTTAGGTTGCTGGCAACGGCGACACTGCCAATAAAATAGGAACTTATCAAATCGCAGTCTTAGCCAAATACCACAATGTCCCGTTCTACGTAGCAGCCCCTTTTACCTCAATTGATACCAAAATTTTAAGTGGAGACCATATTGTGATAGAAGAACGACCGGAGCATGAGATGACCCACGTGGGCGAACACAGAATAGCCGCAAAAGGTGACGTGATGACATGATAATTTAACCAAATTAAAAATTTGTTGCAGGAATCGGTTGCTGGAATCCCGCTTTTGATGTGACCCCTGCGAATTTAATCGCAGGGATTATCACCGAAAAGGGGATATTTCGACCACCGGAAATACGCAAGGAGTTCTTCGTTTAAGCAAATTTGTTAACGTTAATAAAATTGTACAAAATGTATTTTGCTATTTCGACTTTTAATACATCGTTTAACTAAAATTGGTTGTTAATATTGTGTTGCCTTGAATTTAATAAAGTTTTCAAAAAATTTTATTTATGTGGGTGTTTGTATTTCGCGCGTTTATGGCGCCTAGAAAAACAAATATCTATTATTTTGGGTGGATTTATTTCTGGGTCTGTGATTTCTCGATAATTTATTTGGTTTTATTTACATTTTCATATAAATTTTCTCTCGTGTGAATCAAACGCATGGGCTGTATTGATTTTTTGATGTACCATCGCTGGACAAAAAAAACTGGGACACAATAGGTAACTAGATAATTTTGAAAATTCGAAATTTAAAACGTGTAAGTTGGGCTTTTCCTGCCAAAAGTATTATTTATTAGGTTTGTGAAACATTTTCGCATATTTTATTTATTGTTTTCAAGAAATTAGTCGGAAAGATAAAGGCATAAACGAGAGCGTAAAATTAGGGACGTAACTTTATTCAAGAGAAAATAAAAAACTGGAATTATAACTAAAACATTATACTGAAGATGCCAATTCAACTGATCAGTATTTTGTCATTGCACCATTTGCATCGATCACATTCTGTAGTCGACGAGGCATGGAAGCAACTAACTGCCTCATATATCCTGGTGTTACAGTTTCCCATGCCTCGACAATTTTTTCTTGTAATTCTAGTGGATTTCTAGGTCGAAAATCATTTTGATAAATATATTTTTGCATTTCTCCCCAAACATTTTCAATTACGTTTAAATCTGGGCTCCTAGAGGGCCAAGGCAAAACATTGACTCCCTGGGCTTGCAAATACCGACTTACCAGTCGGGCATTATGAACTGGACAGTTATCCTGCAATGGGTTTTATAATTATTTAAAAAAAAATGAAAAGAATAATAGCACAAACTTGTTGAAATATAAAGTTTCGTTCTCCAAAAACTGGTATTACTGAGGGGAGCATAAGTTCTTCTAGAAGCCTTCTGTATACATTAGCGTTTAATCTTTCTTCTACTATTGCGCAAATTCCACGTCCTCTGCTGCTAACCCACCCCCAAACATTAACGGAAAAGCGACCGGATTGTTTATATTTATTGCAATAGCGTTCATCATATCTCGTTCCTGGGGGTCTATAGACACGACGACGTCCATTACTATATGATTTGAAAGTTTTTTCGTCGGAAAATATCACATTATTCCACATATCTGCAGGTTCATTGACAAATTCCTGAGCAAATAATACCCTAATTGCCTTGTTTTGCTCAGTTAAAAATATTTTATTGGCAGCAGCCCGATTTCTTAATTCAGTTTCGTGGACTCTCTTCCGGGCTGTTTTCAGTGACGCAGGGAAATTCGTTTGCTGCCTTGCGTTAACCACTGTTTCGAAAGGATATTCTCGAATGAAATTTGCCAATTGAATGTTTTCGTCTGCAGTCGTTTTTTTTGGACGACCCGACCCCGCTCGTCTGATAATTCTACCATATTCATTAATTTTTTTTTTCGCCAGTAGGACAGTATTCTTGCTGATATGCAGCTCAGTTGCTATTGTTCTAATTGAGACCCCATCCCTTAAACGTTGCGCAATAGTTTGCTTTTGAACTTCATTCAAACTTGGCATTTTTGAATTGGCACTTGACATTAATCAAGGTGACATTTTTTAAATTTCATTTTGAATTACATTTTAAAGAGATGTTTACAATGCAAAAATTTTCAGTGTCCCAGTTTTTTATTTCCACCGATGGTACGTATCAGCCACCCGAGTCCAATGCTTCCAAGTTTTAACATCGATTTTACTCTTTTAAAATTTATGGTTACAATTTAGGAGAAATCAGTGATTAGTGGGCTTAAACAAGCAAAGTAAGGGATTGTTTTGAGATTTGAAAGCAGTGGGACTCGGGAAGTTGTCTTAGAAAGAGGTAGAATAATATTGTCGCAGAAAATATATAAATACTTAGAAGGGTTTTTAGGTTTAGTCGCCACTTACACGTTTTGATGTTTAATAAGTAACTAAATAATTCTAAAAAGTCTATTAAAATGTCATACTTTTTTATTTTTTAAATATTTACAAAGGTTTTAACCTTTAAAAAGCGTTGATATATTCTAAACTTCCACGATGTAAAATAAACTTCACTTAGTTCAAGTGGAATGTACTCCCAAATCTTTGTCAATTTCAAACAAACTATTATATACCCGGTATATATAACATGTGTTTAAATAAACTAAACTGTTATAAATGTTAGGTGTTTTTTTTTTTCGATGTGTAAATGTTAGATTTAAAAGCATGCTGGGAGTGGGGCCAATTTTTGGAACACTGACATATCAACTTCATATAATAACTGTCTATAGTCTGTACAACAGGGGCGTCTCAATTTTTAAACCTATAGGGGAAAATATACGCTTCACATTTTTATTTTATCATTTTCACCATAATTTTTGTAGCTACTTTTGTGTTTTAGTTTTATAACGAATGTCCAAAATCTTGTTGTTTTCCTATATGTGTAGGTAAAGCGAAAAATTCTGGTGTTACGTGGAAAAATAAATTATTTGATAAAGACTCATCGCTGCAGCTGTGATTGATGTATATTTTAACACTATTATTGTAAACGATGTTAATTGTTCCAGTGAATAATACCGAGTAACTATTAATGTTTGTGATTTTTTTGTCAGGTTGGCAACACATTTAAAACTTTATGATGGAAATTTGAAATTTCGGGCACCGCTTCCGTCAAAATTGACTGATAGCTAACATTGCTACCCATAATTCAGAACTGCCAACCCAAGCATTTGCTTCAATCATTAATAGTCACCCGGTAGTTTAATTAATATAAAAATTCTTTATTGTGTGGAATAGTAGTAGAAAAATAGTGTACTTAAATTACATATAATTAATGTGTAAATGTATATCAAGCCCGATGGCATATACCGGGTGTCTGGAAAATAGTAAAAAAATCCTTTTTACAATTTGGTGGCGTTTAAATTTAACAGATTTGATTCAAAATTGCCTCTCTAGTGTTTTATTTTCTGATAAATTTAAAGAAATCTTTTTTTGTTGCTAGATGAAAAAATCTGTTGAGTCTTTTATTTTTTATGAATTTGAAAAAATTTTGAGTGTTTTTTTTTTAATTCGGAAAACTCGATGAGAGGATACGTCATTTGGTAAAATCAGTCTTCTCTTAAGGTCCCAAGTACTAGCCCCGCCCACCCTCCCTCTATTTTCTTAGCGGATATGTCCTTTGCCAAAATCAGTCTTATCCTAGCTACACGGTATGTCATTTGCCAAAATCAGTTTTATCTTAGCAACTACTAGTTAAAAGATAAGATTGATTTTGCCAAATGAAATATCCTCTTAGAAAAGAGAGGGCGGGTGGGCGGGGCTAGTACCTGCTATGGTAAAACTGATTTTGGCAAATGATATACCTTCTAACAAAACAGAGGGCGGGTGGGTCGGCTGGGACTTGTTAAGATAAGACGAATTTTGGCAAATGACATACCGTGGGTGGGCGGGGCTAGTAGCTGCTAACACAAGGCTGATTTTGGCTAATGAGAGACTCTGTAAGAAAAGAGACGGTGGGTGGGCGGGGCTAGTACCTGCTAGGATACGATTGATTTTGGCAAATGAGATCCCTCTAAGAAAATAGAGAGCTTAGAGGTATCTCACTTGCCAAAAACAGTCTTATCTTATCAGGTACTAGTCCCGCCCACCCACCCTCTCTTCTCTCAGAGAATATGTCATTGCCAAAATCAGTTTTATCTTAGCAAGTAGTGAGGACTAACTTATGCTTTAATGGATTTTCGTTTTGTGGTTTTTGTTTATAATTTATAAATGTCTTAATAAATGTTTTTTTTTTTGGTTTATTTGTTAATGAAAAATAACAGCTTGTTTTATTAATAATAATACACAACGATTAATGACTACTGGTTACTGTGCCAAAAAAACTAAAAAAAAGCATCGTTACGAAGAAATCAAAAAGTAAGCCGGAATTTTACTTTTATAATTTTTTTTTGTAGTGTATATCATAATTTTTTTTTTATTATTTTTTGTGACTCTCGAAACCCCCGTATACGTACTGAAGAGTTAAGCCGCTATTTTCCAGACACCCGGTATATTGTACTTTCTATATTTCATGTGTATTTTCAGTTTAAGATTAACTGTCACGCTGGACCTAACAAAATTTTGTAATCGCTGCGAAAGACGAATTTTTGAAAATTTCAAAAATTTCGATATTTCAAAGGTCGATTCTGGAAAAACACTTGCTGGTATCAAAAAACCGAACCTGGATTTGAGTTCTAGAGCTCGAAATCTACAAGAAAATGGATTTAGTTGAGTTTCGAAAATGTCAAAATTTTTGCAAAATTTAAAGACCATTAAAAAATTTCAATTTTAAAAAAGTTGTCTAAAAATTATGAAAAAATTCAGGGACGTAGATCTCGACACGCTGATTCTAAAAATATAACATGTTGATGGTCACGACGCAACATTTTCGAAAAAATTGCTGCGAAATGCGAATTTTTGAAAATTTCAAAAATTTCGAAATTTCAACAAAATATTTCAATTCTAAAAAAGTTGTCTAAAAATTATGAAAAAATTCAAGGATGTAGATCTCGACACGCTGATTCCAAAAATATAGCATGTTGATCGTCACGAAGCAACATTTTCGAAAAAATCGCTGCGAAATGTTAATTTTTGAAAATTTCAAAAATTTCGAAATTTCAACGGTCGATTTTGGAAAAATGGTTGAGGTATAAAAAAACCGAAGCCGGATTTGAATTCTAGAGCACGAAATCGACAAGAAAATGTATTTAGTTGAGTTTCCAAAATGTCAAAATTTTTCCGAAATTTGAAGAATTAAAAAATTTCAATTTTAAAAAGTTGTCTAAAAATTATGAAAAAATTCAGCGACGTAGATCTCGACATGTTGATTCCAAAAATATAACATGTTGATGGTCACGAAGCAACATTTTTGAAAAAATTGCTGCGAAACGTGAATTTTTGAAAATTACAAAAAATTCGAAATTTCAACGGTCGATTCTGGAAAAACGGT